GGTGTATTTGGTAAAATTGCTAGAATAAACATGAATCTCTCCATCCGTCTAGTCCCCCACGAAATAAAAATTTCACAAAACCATAATCATTTATTTTTTTAAATTTTTATTTATTTATTTAAAAAGATTTTATTTATTTGAGAGAGAGAGAATGAGAGAGAGAGCATGACAGGGGAGAGGGTCTGAGGGAGAAGCAGACTCCCTGCTGAGCAGGGAGCCCGATGCGGGACTAGATCCAGGGACTCCAGGATCGTGACCTGAGCCAAAGGCAGTCGCTCAACCAACTGAGTCACCCAGGCACCCACCATAATCATTTCTGCCATGTGCACCATACCCTGGTCATTTCTGTTCTGTTTTATATTTTTGAAAGCCATTAAATTATTTTCATGATGGGCAGTTAAAAAATGTTGAGACTCCCTGTCCTCTGGGGATAGTGACATTGTCCGGGAGGGGTCATTTTTGTAGCGTTTTGGATCCACAAAGGATGAGACGAGGGTTTCCTAGTTAAGTTCTTTTCCCAGAAATGGAATTTAAGATGTCAAAGGCATGTGAAGACTTACAAAAAAATGAATGAATGTCACTTGCAAAGAATTTTCTCTTGCCTTCCTAGCAGTTTACACACCCACTGACACCGTCTGAGAATTCCAGTTGTTCTATATCCTTCTGAACACTTAGCATTGCCAGTATTTTTTGTTTTAACTAGCATAGTGGGTATGTAGTAGTTGTCACAGCCATTTTATTTTTTTTTAATTTTTAATTTTTTTAAAGATTTTTTATTTATTTGAAAGAGAGAGAGAGCAAGCACGAGTGGGGGGCAGAGGCAGAGGGAGAGGGAGAAGCAGACCCCCACTGAGCAGGGAGCCCGATGCAGGACTCGATCCCAGGACCCTGAGATCATGACCTGAGCCGAAGGCAGCTGTTTAACTGACCGAGCCACCCAGGCGCCCCTGTCATGGCCATTTTAAATGAAGTCCCTCTAAAATGCCTTGGGCCTTCCAGTGTTTTTAAGCAGAATGGAAATGAAGTGGTCGATCTGTTGCAGGTATAACTAAGTTTGGGTATTTTGAATAGTCATCCCTTTTGCTGTTTATGGTATGTCCAGCCATTAGAGTGAGCTGTCACTGTGGCTCGCTCTACAAGCTTCTCTACGCTTTCACCAACAGAATACTCTAGACTAGAAACTGTACGCTCCAGGCCCTTCTAAGTGCAGTATCAGGGCCGCAGAGCCGCATCTGTGCATACTCTGTTGGCAGACCTCAGACACAGAAGAGTCTCTTCCCCTTTGCCTGCACAGGACCCTGTCCCAGACCCCCTTCCCGCTATCTGCCTCGACTGCTGTGGACTAGGGTTCCTTTACTGTCGTCTGGGGTTGGCCTTCACTCCAGAGGCCAATGGTGTTTGGCTGATGACTAGCGCTCTCGGCCCTTCTCTGTGGGGGCAGGGTGGGCTTGCAGAGAAAAGGGAAGGGTGTGCCTGGCAAGGTGAAGAGCTCGCAAAGTGAAAAGCCAGCAGGGCCCAGCTGCTGCTGGGGGGTAGGGGAGGTGGGGAATGGAATCTGCTTATCTTGCTGACGGCAGGAGGCCTGAAATCCTGAATACTATTCACAGAAGATTCCCTGAAAGCATGGGACAAAAGATTGGGCCCCTTTCCAGTCTTCATTCAGGGTGAATTCCAGGGTGATTTCAGGTAATGCATACAGTCTTCTCAGTTCCACGTTCTCTCTTTGTCACATGTCACCAGATTGCCTTGAGAAAATGGTCAAGGCAGAGGGGGTCCAGAGAAGACATCTAATTTAGCCTCCCTGCCCACCCAAGAGCACCACAATTTTATGTTTGTGAATCTGCCTTCTTTAAATATATTTGCAATTGATCAGTGCCTGCTCTTGATGATTCATGATGATGTTTACTAATATTTTTTTAGACGTCTGCGAGGACAATACGATAGAAACCCAGCGTACCCTGATTTCTTCCCTTTACTGCTCTGTGTGAACCCGTGCACCTACAGAGCAGTTAAATTAAATATGATGTAAAGATGCTCAGTGAATTACCTTCTATTAATTGTTATTCTCTTGAGAGACTGTCCAGGGTTGGTAGGCTGTAATCATGAAAGTCATCTGTTTTTCATCTTGATGCAGTTCTTTCCTATCCTCTGGCTGTTTCTTTGGAATTCTTTCATTTCTGTTGGACTCAGGTTTGAGAATTGAATAAATTAAGGCCCAGAACTTTTATAATCTCTGGATTAAAAGGGAGCCTCCCGAGGCTAATGTCCCAATATTAGCCAATAAATAGGATCGTGGAGGTGAAAGTGTTTTCTACAGCTTCGCACAGAGAGAGAATGTTCCCTCGCGTAATAGCCTGAAAGAGTGGCCTGACAGTCAATGTGTAGTATAAATCAAAATGCAAAGAAATCTTCCACTTCGAGTTACGAACATTTTAAGTTGGTCAGTCACAAAAGATATAGTTAAAAAACTCAGTGGCTTAGTCACACTCCCAAGTATTTATTTATTTTTTAAACATTATTCATTTATTTGAGAGAGAGAGAGAGAGAGAAGGAGCAGGGGGAAGGGCAGGGAGGGGCAGAAGCAGGCTCCCCACTGTGCAGGGAGCCCGTTGTGGGGCTCGATCCCGGGACCCCGGGATCATGACCTGAGCCGAAGGCAGACGCTTCACTGATTGAGCCACCCGGGTGCCCCAAGTATGTTTGTTCATGTTCTTTAATTTGTATTGGATTTTATCTAAGCTCATTAAATTCCCCTTGGATCTGGTTTCCACAGTTAGCCATAGCCCATCTCACTGCCCCCATTCCCTCAAAAGGGACAGGAAAGTTCTGTCATTATTGGTTTTGGTCGCTGGTGGACTGCTTCCTTGTGTAACTTCTCTCTGGAAAGTTTGAAGTAATCAAGATAACTGATCTCCCCTCTCCGAGAGACAGTCAGGTCAGCAGATATTTCTCCTGGCAGCTCTTCTTCCGTTTGGTGTTTCCTTTCTCAGGACTGCGAGTGTGTGTAAAAAACATACTGCAGAAGAAAAAAGGTTTCACATTTGCTTCTGCCTATTAGCCTCCCCCACTAGAAGAGCAGGGAAGAAGTGGCACTAGAACTCAGATTGCAAAAATAATGTTTTTTTGCAAACATGCTAAGTAAGTCACAGGGATCTGAGCAGGGGATCGACTGTATAGGGCATTTAGGAGAAAGAATGATTGCCAACCCCACCTCCCCCAAGCCCCGCCGTCTGCCATGAAAGTGTCTCTACTATTTTTATTGATTATAAAAGTAATACATGCTGAATGTAATGCATATGAACAGTATTTGTAAAGTAGAAGGTGAAGGTTCCCCATAGTCGGTGCTGTTATTCGAGGGATGTGTATTGTCAACATGAACGGAATGGTACTTGGCATACTGCTCTGTAAGCTGCTTTTTTTCACTGAATGTTTTGCAGGGTCTTCTCTACATCAGTGTCTGCAGATCTGTCTGCAGCATTCTTAGGATGAATCAGAGTTGATTTGCATAATCCCTCTCAGTGGACATTGTAGTCATTTCCCGTTTTCTCATATTCTAAACCTACTTTGTTCCCTGTGTAGCCACCAGCCACATGTGGTAATTTAACTTAATTAAAATCACATAATGTTTAAAAATCAGTTTGCAGTCGCTCGCCACATTTCAAGTGCCTGGTAGCTCTATGTGACTAGCACAGAGGAAGAACTTTCCCAGCATCGTGTGGAGTTATATTGGACAGGGCTGTTCTAAACCGCTGGTTTTCAGTTTTGTTTTTTTTTTTTTCAAGTACATGTTTCTATTCCTTTATTGATCCATTCAGCAAATGATTATTGAGTGCCTCCTATGTGCCAGGCACTGTGCTCGGGACTTGGATATCTCACTCACAAAACATAAGTACCTGTCCTCATAATGCTTAACTTTCTACCAGCAAAAGGTTTTGAGTATTCACTCCCAATAAATGTATGTGTACTGCAAATTGCATATATATCCTATTCTGTTGTTATATTATAAAACATAATATATGGAACAAATTAAAATAGAAATGAAAAAGAATAAGTTAAAAGAAGTAAGTAATTTCCAGAGTAGTCTTCCCGCGTCGCACCTTGGAGACCACTGTTCTGAGTGATGCTCTTGTACCAGGCGGCTCTTTTTAAAGATTCTTGGCATGCTGTTACCTCATTTTAAACAGGTAGTCCTTCTAGTTGATACTCCTTCTAAATATCTATTTCATAAAAAGATTTCTTTTTTTTTTTCTATATCTGTAGGCTCCTTCCTACAGTTTGAATTTGTTCTTTTACTTACATATTCATTTAGTAAGCATTTATGAAGTTCTTACTGTATACTGTATGGTGGATGCCGGGAAATGGAACAAGTCAGGGTTCCTGCTCTCAAATGACACAGGCCAGCAGATCACTTATTCTAATACAGGGTGTTACGGAAATGCAGGAAAGGGGCATATAAAGAGAGAGATTCTTTGGGAGAACGGAGGACAGCTTTCATGACCTCCTCTTTGCTGAATTACTGCACTCTGTTTTGGGACTCAATGCAATCACATATTTCTCCAACAGATACTATGTTTCTCCATGGTATTTTCTTTTGAAAAATACAAAATTCTAAATCATCGATTTAAGGATATTAAACCGCTGTTGACTGTCCCATTAAATATCTCTTTATGTTAAATGCTTACCTTTCGATTTTTAAACTTAGAACTTAGGGATGGGAGGGCTCTGTATAGGACAGAAACCGAGTCCAGATACTTTTGTAGCTCCTGTTGTTTGAGAAGGGGGAACAGAATCATCTCCAGAGATGGGGTGTTGATTCATGCCTTCATTTAATAAACATTTATAAAATACCTTCTCTGCGGAAAAAAAGCACTGAATGCCAAAATAAATTCCTCACATGGGCTTTTAACTAGGGGATTCTGAAGAATCTAATGGATGATACTATTTAGAGTAAACTTAAAATGAAAGAATTGATCATGTGCTCTTTATTCCCTCTCTTTTAGGGCAAGTTAAAGTGTTCCGAGCTCTTTACACGTTTGAACCTAGAACTGTAAGTATTCAGTTTTTAACCTCAAAATTGGCATAAAAACCTAAGGTGATTTCATTTAGGTACTTCCTCTGGCCTAAATGGCCCGCCTTTTCTCTGATAGCTGTAAATGGTTCACAGGAATGGATGGTCAGTCACTTACATGTAGTCCAGAGGTGTGAGAGCGAAGTCCCTCGGGTTGCTCTGAAAGTGTTCCCCACCTTGAGGTCATGTTGTCCACCCCGTGCTGCTTTTTCCGCTAGGGTGACATCACCCACTTTTAAAAATCACCAAGTGACCCACACACGTAAAGCATGTGACCTTGTCTTAGTCATCTTTCCTGTGGGTCTTACGCCGACCTTCCTTGTTCTTCCTGTTGACCCTCTATCTCAGGCCACCTCATAATGGCACCTTTTACCAACAATCTAGAGCGATTTTTTATGTCTCTGCTGTTTCTGGTGTCCATCCATCAATCCACCCATCCATCCTTGGTTTAGTGAGCACATACTTTGTGCCAGACCCCGGCCCAGGCCTTGGGGATGGTGCCATGTCAACAGAAAGGGTGGCCTCATGGAGCTCCCATCCCAGTGGAGGGAGACAGACAGTAAGCAGACAAATGAACATGACTATCAGGGCCTGATTGGTGCTATGAAGAAAAATAAGGAGGGTATGGGGCCAAAAGGTTCGTGGAGAAAAGAGTTACTTTCAGCAGGGTGTCTGGGGATGAGGCTTTCTGTAAAGGTGACGTTAGCGTAGAGACCTGAGGGAAGGGAGAGAGCCAAGGGAACAGTGAGGAGCGTCTTTGGTGGGTTCTAGAAGCAGCAGGGAAGACAGCAGCTTAGAAAGTCGTGAATAAAGGAGAAGGAGGTAGGAGATGGGTTCAGAGAGCTTGGGTGGAGAGGGAGGGCAGATCACGTAGGGCCTCGTGGGGTAAAATGGAGGGTTTTGAGCCCAGGGTTGATTAGATACATTTTAGAAGAACCACTCTCCCTGAGGGAAACCGTCCAGCAGAGCAAGAGTGGGAGCAGAGCACCCAGACAGGAGGCAGAGGAGAGAGACCGAGCAAAGAAACCTGCTCTCTTGACGTTCCCGTCTTACTCACTAGAGATGGGAGCCTTTGTGCTGGGGACAGCAGCTTGCCGCTGGCTTTGTCTGGGTTTGCCGTGGCCCCTGTCGTCCCCAGGGCCGAGCATCTCAGAGGGTAGCACAGAACCGGATGGCGCCGAGCGTTGACTCACTACCATCAGGCTGTGGCCGGCCTTCAAATTCCAAATTCGTGTGGCTGTCTGTGTCCTTGTCAGCCATCCTGCAGAATTTGGCTGTCAGTGGGGAACGAGATGGATATTTGAAGCCTTGCATGCGGTGGGCGCCAGTAAACGGCAGCAGGAAATGCAGCTAATAGGGGGTGTGCTCGGGTTCCGATGAGTTCTCCCAAGACTTTATCATCACAGTGTTCCTGGAACAAGAGGGGTTGGGTGGGTAGAGGTAGGTCTCGAGTTTTTATTCTTCTTACCAGGACGTTTCAGCGGCATCCCCCCTGTGTCGGAGGAGTGGGGAATGAACGGGCCACGTGTCAGCTTGCTCCGGCGGCTGGAACAAGGTCCTGCAAGACTACGTGGCTTAACCGACAGAAAATTTTCTTAGAATTTTGGAGGCAAGGAGTCACGTGGAGGTGTGGCCAGGGTTCGTTTCTTCCGAAGCCTCTCTCGCCTAGATGATTGTGTTCTCCCTGTGTCCCCACGTGCGTCGTTTTTCCTCTGTGCTTGTCAGTTTCCCAGTCTGCTCTTCTTAAAAGGACACCGGTCATATATGGATTAGGGCTCGCTCGAATGACCTAATTTTAATTTAATTACCTCTTTAAAGAATCTGTCTCCAAATACACTCAGCATTCTGAGGTACTAAGGGTTAGGACTTCAACAGATGAATTGGGTGGTGGGTGGGACACAAAAAGGTAAGGAAGTATGAGCCCCAGAAGTTGTTGTCTTTGTGTTTGTCCCCTGCTCACAGGAAGGCTGTCATTTCATGCGTCTGATTGTCCTAATCAGTGGTTTCCTAGGTTGCAAGCCACCCGAGGTTGATAGAAGTGGGGGGTGGGGGGTGCTCCTCAGCTGCCCTCCTGGGCTGGTCCGTGAATAATAGATCATTCTCTGCAGCCCCCCTCACTCTAGGAAGGGACCTGAAGGGACTCAGTTTGAGACCAGACATGACTCCTGACAGCCCCCCGCCCCCGCCAAGTAGCCTGTTGGTCCTCACCTTTGTCCTTCCTCACTGACCTCCTCCTCCTTTGGTTCTCGAGTGCTTTTTCTTGCTTCTGGCCCATGGCCTCCAGCTTCTCCATTCCATCTGCATTCTTCTGCCTGATTGATTTTCCTACAGTGTAGCTTTGCTCCCATCATCTGCTTCACCTCTTTATTGAAGGGGATAGAGTCCCCTGTGGTCCAGCCTGTTTCTGGCCCTGCAGTCCTCTGCCCCTTTCCCTTCTTAGTCCATTCCAGTCCCAATTTGATGCACAGTAGAACCCGTCTCTGAACCCTTTCCACCCTCTCTAGGCTCTAATAACATACTTCCTTTTCCATAAAGACTTTCTGATTAACCCAGCTAAGCCTTGTACACTGGGCATTTCTGTCCTGCGCCCCACAACTGTGTTGGGGGGGGGCAGAACACAGGGTTGTTCAGAGCTGGCCTTAGGTTTTAGGACCCATTCTGCCGCTTTAGTGTCTATGTGACCTGGGAAGTTCGGGAATTCCCAAACCTCTGCGCCTCAGCGTGCTCCTCTTTCGAGTGAGAATAATAATCTCAAAAAAAACCTAAGAATAATCTTAGGTGAGATTAATTGTGTGAAGCTGCTATTACTGTTAGGAGGGGTAGTGGTTGCTGTATTTGTAGACATTTAGCAAATAGTTTTGGTGGGTTGACATATTGATTATTTTAATTCACCTCCAGTTCTGCCCCAGGATGGAATTTCACTACTGCTCTTTAAAAAAAATCATCGTTACAGGGGCGCCTGGGTGGCTCAGTCGTTAAGCGTCTGCCTCCGGCTCAGGTCACGATCCCAGGGTCCTGGGATGGAGTCCCTGCATGGGGCTCCCTGCTCTGCAGGAAGCCTGCTTCTCCCTCTGCTTCTGCTCTCCCCCCCCCCCCCGCTCTTGCTCGCATTCTGTTTCTGTCTCTCAAATAAATAAATAAAATCTTTAAAAAAAAAAATCGTCATTATTATTGAATGTCCAAAAAAAATAGATACTTAATTCATTAGTGTTTTTGAAGAGTCGGTATTTAAAATGTTATTTTTTAAGGTCCCTGCTCCCAGGGATCCTCGGCTGTGGAGCAGTGCTGCTAATTCATCCAGGATGTACTGGGTGCTCAGTAATGAGTATCGCGCACCTGCTGCTCCCACACTCTGCCCCTTCCACCTCCCCTCAATCCAGATGTTAAAGGCGGGGTGGCTGGCTGGGCAAGTAGCCTCTAGCTCCTGGCCCTCCTCTCTGCTTAAGTGCCTGTGCTAGCCCAGTGATTCAGTCTTTTGATTCTCATCCCAGAGCTAGTTTAGTTTTACATTCTTTTTCTGAATAAGGATTTCTGTTGGATGATGCGGGAAGCTCCGTTTGTCTGTCTCTGTCATCTCCCCCAGCAACCACCCCTAGCGGGATGGATGCACTCTGGGACGTCCTGAACTGACCTGGCCTCCTCAAGGCCATTGGGACCAGGCAGGATGCAAGGGCTGAGCTGGCCTCTGCGGGACACTTGCTGACAAGTGCAGCACCCCGGGGAGGCCTGGGTCTAGCTTTGAGCTACTCTTCTGTCCTCAGGGGACAGGGACAGCAGTGCCCAGCTTCAGTCTCGGTGATCCACGGGGCAGCTGGAGCACTGGGCAGTTTGTCGCTCCTGGTTCTTCCTGCCAACCCATTTCTCTTCTATCTTGCTCGAAGGCAGGGGAGTCCTGGCGCCACTCATGCCTGTTTGGTTCTTAATTCTTGCCCAACCCCCAGTCCAATAAAGTCTTATACAGAGATCCGGCTGGACTGGATAGACCAGCGTCAAGACACACTGGAACAGAGGGAACAGCATTCTCTGTGTGCTGGCGGCGTGTCGATTTCTAAAGGGAAAGCAGCAGGACCCCGCTCTGTCATGTCACATCTTCTGGCATGACTAGGTTTATCGCACTCTGCAGAGAGGCAGGATCCCTAGAATGGAATCCCAAAAGCTGAAGTAGGAGCCCAGCCCTGCCACTTACTCACTGTGTGGTTTGTGGCAAGTTCCTCAACACCCCTCTGAGCCTGGTTATGAAATGGAGACGATACCCGTGTTTCAGCCCGGCCCCTCATGGGTCGTCCTGAGGATTGAACGAGGCTAAGCATGCTTTGCAAGTGTAAGGGGTTGGCTGTTGGTTTTGTTTTTCTGCCTCATGTAGGGATGGGGAGTAGGGGCGAACAGCAGATACTTTCTGTGGCCACCACCTTTTAACCTGGTCATGATACCCTGATGACTCGTAATGGCTATGCATGACCCTTCCGCAAGAGAGAAAGCATAGGTGCTGGTGAATGTTCCAGACTCTGACTGTCGTGGTTCAAGTCTAGTGTCTACTACACACCTGCTGTATGGCCTTGGACAAGCTTCTCATCTGCAGTGTGATGACAAGAGTAACATCCACCTCATGTTGCTGGTGAGGATTAAATTTGTTAATATTTGTAAGTGTCCAGACTAGTGCCTGGCACCTAGTAGTCCTATAAAGTGGTAAATAAAAACATCCATGGAAAATTTGATTTGTAAAAGTCTTTTCGTTAATTCTTGGGGTTCCAGGTTGACACATCTGAAAAGTTTCATAAGGATGTTATGGTCTCTCTGAAATTTTTTATAAAATATATATTTTCCTAAACCAACAAAATGAATGCCTTGGGAATTATATGTTACCAAGAATAAATGAAACAGGAATGAGAATATATATTACCAAGTTTCTACTCATCGCTCTAACATTGCAGTGGCCAACAATTTGCTTGTCCTGATACCTTGTGGTTCTTCAAGGAGAGGGGCAAAGAGGAATGTGGTTGAAAACCAAAGAAGAAACTAGAAATAAAGTGCTTCCTTGATTGTGTCACTGTTTTCCCATTTCTGTTCCGTGAATGCGATGCCAGGAATTTAAAAGTAGACCCTCATCAAATCATTTACCTTAAGTGCCCTGCAAGCAGTTTCTTAATGGAAAGTGTGAATATTTTAGATAAAAATCTATTTAAGTTTTAAAAATCATGAAAATGACCTTATTGTCTGTATTGCTACCTATAGTGTGAAGAATTCGGTAGACCACGTCTAGGTTAGTAAGCACTGCCCCTGGTTCCTTTGGAAGAAGATATTTTATGGGGAGTAGCACTGTCTGTCTGGGGGCTATTGATTAAAAAGAGAATAAACTGTCCACTCTCCTTCCTCAGGGTGGAAAAATAGCGAGACCTTTTTTTCCCCCTGACTGAAATCGACTGCCTGTTGTCCTTCCCTCAGCTGAAAAACAAGTCTCACCTAATAGGTGGCTTGTGGCATTCACCAGTGTTTGAACAATAGCCATTATTTTAAAAACTGAAGCCGCACTGAGAAGTATCGAAATGACTGTACTGAGTGACATTTTCCAAATGATGCATTTTACCAAACCACAAAGCACAAGAATTACTTAAAAGACAATAAGAATTGTAACTGTTCTTGACTTTTTATTGCCTCTAAATTTACTTTAATTTTAATTTTATTTTTTATTGCCCTTATTTTAAAAATTGAGGTAAAAATTCACATAACATAAAATTAACCATTTTGAAGGGAACAGTTCAGTGGCATTTAGTATATTCACAGTGTTGTACAAACCCCACCTCTATCCAGTTCCAAAACATTTTCATCCTCCTAAAAGAAAACCCTATATCCATGAAGCACTTACTTTCCATTGTTCCAGGCTCTATACTTTTTTTTCTTCCTAAATGAGAAGGACTCATCACAGGGATTTTTGTTTGTGTGCTTTTTTGAAGCTGTTTGTTTAATACCATTTCAAAACATGCTTTTTTGGTTCAAGGGTGAATGAACTTTCTACATGTGGAAATTTAGGCAAACTTGACTTGTGATTTTAAAAGGTGGCCAACACCATAGGTAGGGATGATCTTTAACTTCCACGAAAGCCCCTTGTTAGACATAAGTGGGCAGGTTTGGTTCTTGGAGAGGTACAGGGTAAGAATGCTCTTTGGATGGCTCCAAGACCAGAGAGATCTCTTCAAGACATTGCACTCTTTTGAAACTCCGGGAAACTCAGAGTCCCTCCAAGAAAAATGCTAAGCTTTCACATATATTCTGTTTTCCTTACTTCCTTACGTTCTACTTCATTCTCTCCTCTTAACCCTTATTGCCATCTCAAGGAGAGACAGTCAAATGGTGTTGAAGTTGCCAGCGAAGGCCAACCTTCCTGTTACGGGGATGGCCACTGTGTCTAGCTGGGGTGCTGGGTGGGCAGTGCGTCCCCTTTCTGGCCTCTCTGGGAGCGGTCCAGTTTGCAGCAGGGAAATACTAAGAGAAATAGTTTGTTTACCTAATCACTTTCTATAGCCATCACATACTGGTAGTCTATTGATCACAGATCATCAGAACATGATAGAAAAAGATTAGGGAAGAACTTAGAGGGCTCTACAGTTTTTGCCCTAAAAATTTTACGATTTCTAGTAATCATAAAATCTGTATCATCGAGTCTCCATAGGCTCAACTAATTTTGCATAGCTTGTGCTGTGTGTTAAGTCTAGACTCGGTAAATCAGTCGTAAATGCAACAAATGCTTCAGGAAGTACCTTTTAAAGGAACTCAGTCAGAGTGCCTGGGTGGTTCAGTCGGTTTAAGTGTCTGCCTTCGGCTCAGGTCACGATCCCAGGGTCCTGGGATGAGTCCCACATTGGGCTCCCTGCTCAGTGGGGAGTCTGCTTCTTCCTCTGTCTCTGTGCCTCTCCCCGCTCATTCTCTCTCTCTCTCAAATAAATAAATAAATAAAGTCTTTTAAAAAATAAAGGAACTCAGTCATTTTTAAGTATCATTAATTATCATTTGGTAGTTTTTATATTTGAATGCATAATGCACCTAACTATTTAGGTATGTGGTTGCTTAAAGCATGGTATAGCTGATACAGTCTTCGTTTATATTCAGGAGGAAATAGTTATAATAATAATACAGATCAGCTTTGAAACTAAATAAGTTAGTAGTGCACAATCACATTTACCTCCCTGGTCTGTAACTGAGAGAGGAGATAAATGGAGAAATGAATGGATGAGATAATTTGTTTCACTAGCTTGAGTTTTGTTTGTACAGAACAGCAACTAAAATCAGAAATATCAAAGCCTGTTTAAAAAACATTTTTCCAGCCAAAATTATGAAAGTAATACATGCTCATGATAGAAAATTTGGAAAAATGTTTCTGTATATTTCATGCATAATTGTGATCTTATCCTGTGTGAAATTCTGTGCTTCACATTCTTCACTGAACATGACAATGTGAATATTTCCCAGGATCTGAAACTTGCTCCTAATAGGCATGGTCCTATATACCTACAAAATCATGCTGGTAAGCATTAATGTAGTGATAGAAAAAAGATGCTTAATTAAAGCACCCGGCTATCTTCAGAGAGTTTGCAGGACATTTGGCTGGTACAACCTGGAGCGCATATTATCTGTATCATCAGCTAACCCCTGAGAGCTGCTTATGGTCTGGACGTTCTGAGTTACTGCTACCCATTTTCCTGCTCTTTAGCCTTATTAATGGTTGAGTTATGTATTAACTATTCTTATATATGAAGTGTTCATTCTCTGTGAACATGAAAAGGTAGGATAGTTGTTTTCTCAAAATAAGCAGGTAGTAGATGTTGACATGAAAGTATTTAAGGACTGAAGCCTCATCCTTTAGACAAGAGCCAAGCTCCTGGCTGTTTTTCGTGGTTTTAAATTCTAGACATTTATCCTTTTACAAAAAAATGTATATCACCTTTTAGAATTTTTACAAGAAAGTAGTTTTATTAATGTTCTATTTTGATAGAGAAATGCCTTGCTTTCATTGTGGAAGAATATAAGATGTTCTTATATGTTATGTATGCAACTCTTTGAAGTTCATCATGGGAAAAATTCAGCTTTCTAAATATATGTTAGTTTGTCAGTAATGTTTCATTATGTGGTCTGTGTGCAGATGTAAGTATCTAAAAACCACACTGTCTGTAAGGTACTTTAGGATTTGAAATTCATATAATTATTAGCGTCATCATTATATTCTAATTCATGAAAAATCACATGAAGTCAAACTGTATATATTTTTTCTTTCAGCCAGATGAATTGTACTTTGAGGAAGGTGATATTATCTACATTACTGACATGGTAAGCTCAGCTAATATTTTGTAATCCTACATATGAAACATAAGGCTATTTTGTGTAGCTGTAATATTGTACAGTATTTAAATGTTTATCTGTATAGAAATACGTATGCCCAGTTCATTTTAGCACAATTTGTAATAATAGCGTAAAATTAGAAGTAACCCTTATGTTCACCTATAAGAAGATAGTTGAGTAAGTTTCGGTATATCCACAAATAGAGTATTATGCATTTATAAAAAGGAATGAGGAATATCTCTAAATGCTATTATGGAGTAACTTAAGTGAAAAAATGCAAGGTAAAAAAAAGTGTGAACAGTATGCCTTATTTACCTAAGAGAGGTTATATGTATAACTGTTTTCTTCAGTTTAAAACAAAAAGTCAATGGAGGAATCATCGAATAAAATTTAAAAAAATAGTTTCTTCTATGTGAGGGAAGGGAAATAGGGTAGAGGGAACATGGAATAAAGACTTTTTAAAAAATCACACCTTGTTTTGGAGATCTGACTTTGGAGTCATGCGAACTTTTGCATAGTTATAAAATTAAATGGTAAAAAAGCAATCCCTGAAATTTAAAAGCAGAATGAATCAAATGAAGTTAATTGTATCCCAGGTAATTGGCATAACCACACAGAAAGGAACTGTTCCAAGTGACCTTAAAACTCAGCAGTTAGACCGAACATCTCCAGTAGAATATACATGAAGGGCAAAAAGGACTGGCAAGAAAAATAACTGTAACCTGGTTTTAATTATCATCTCGTAGCAGAAGCATTGGTATTGCTATGCTGAGATTGTTGCATGTGTGTTATGGTTGAGAGCAAATGAGTCATTAGGTCAGTGATACTGACAACTGGGATTTTTAGCCTGCAAGAAAAGATACACAGATGTAAGGTCAAGGTTAAAGGTTAAATAAAAACCCCATAGCTCTGCATCTGTATGGCAAGTATGTTGTATTTTATCTACAATAAAATAAAAACATGTCCTGCTCTGTCCTTTGAAAAGGCCTAGAAAAAAAAAATGACCGACCCCATAATAGTATGTTATTTTGCACTCAAAGGAACAAGGCTCTGTTGAGAAATACATGTTACCAGGTTGGGGGCAGCAAAGGTACAAGATAATCTGAGAACACCATGTTATTAGAAAGCAAGGAAGCCTCCAGAGACAATGAGGGTCACAGTAGAAACACAGGACTGAAGCTGAAGAGGCTGCCGCTAGTCAAAGATAGGACAATTTGAACAGTCAGTTAGGGCAACACTCCCCAAGGATTGAAGCACATTTTCTATGTTTAAATCCATGAGCTGCCAGTAATACAAAAAACCCAAACATCATTCTTCACCCTGAGCGGATGCTAGGGAACCAACGTTTTTAATTCTGACAGCTTCAGTTAAGGAAAATAATGAGCCTTGATTCTGCCTTTTCTCTATGAACTTCATCTCTGGGTAACCTGAGAGTTGACGAGGGAGAACTTCTCTTTAGAGAGATATTCTCATTGTTTAAGTGAAAAAGGAATGATAGAATGTCACCATTTTGCAGCCCCCAGGAAATAATGGAGGGACCGCCAGACATTATGTGTCTCCTGATGGAAGAAATCAATACTACAATAGTCTTGCCCAGAAAACTGAATCTGAATCTAATTAAGCCTCTAGAACTAACAACCAATTTATAGGCAATAGGGAGAACAGAGGAACACATTTTTGGTAACACAGATGCAACAGGCAAAATCCAGCCTGTTTGAAACTCAGCAGAACAAATAAACTGGTTTCTTCAACAAATACACTAAGCAACAAGTGTGTTATGAAGGAATGAAAAAAAAAAATGGAGGAAAACCTATACACTAAAAGAGACCGAAGAGGCAAATCAGTCAGTCATATTGCATGGCCCTTATTTGGATTCTAAATTGTGGGACAACTGGAAAATTTTAATAGTGATCTAGATGTTTGATGATATTAAGGAATTATTGAAATAAATTTTAAGTTATGTTAATGGTTTTATGTCCTTGGAAAAAAATCCTTATCTTTCAGAAATACATACTGAAATATGTACAGGTGAGCTAATACAGTGTCTACAGTTCATTTGAAGATAATCTGAAGGGATAGGAGGTTGTGGATTAGATACATGAAACAGTTGGCCAGGAGAAAATAACTTATGCAGGTGGGAGATGAGTTTATGTAGGTTCATTATCCTGTTTTTTTCTACTTTTTATAGGTTTGAATTTTTCTAAAATAAGGTTTTCCCAAAAATGAAGCTAAAATAAAGAGGTCTTTAGGAAAAAAAAAAATCTCCAGGATGCCGGGGTGGCTCAGTCGATTGAGTGTCTGCCTTCAACTCAAGTCATGATCCCAGGGTCCTGGGACCAAGTCATGCATTGGGCTCCTTGCTCAGCAGGAAGCTGCTTCTCCCTCTGCCTGCCACTTCCCCTGTTTGTGTTCTCTGTCTCTGACAAATAAAAGAAAATCTTTAAAAAGAAAAAAAATCTTCAAGCTAAGAGAAATTAGACTCTGGACAAAAAAATTCTATGGATAGTTTAAAATTCTATGGATTGTTTTCTTCCCTTTCATAGGATCTCTGATGTGTGTGGTTGTTGAGGCTCTGTGATGAAGTGTATTGTGTGTGTGGCAGGCCAGTGTGGGTATATTTGTACTTTAATGATAGGGGGAAGTACAGATATCCTGAGATTTGGTTTAACAGCAAAAGAAACAACCATCAAGTTTCCTCACCCCCTGGTTAGGGATGTCCGTTCCCTATGTCCCTATGGACATCCCTAACCAGGGGGTGAGGAAACTTGATGGTTGTATCCAGGGCTGATGGACAGTCTGTAGAGCAGGTGAAGTCCCTGAGCCAGATGGGTTTGTTTGTTCTTTTTTTTTTTTTTTAAAGATTTTATTTATTTATTTGAGAGAGAGAGAGAGAGAGAGAGAGAATGAGCAGGGCAGGGGCAAAGGGAGAGGGAGAAGCAGGCTCCTCGCTGAGCAGGGAGCCCAATGTGGGACTCGATCCCAGGACCCTGGGACCAGGACCCGAACACAAGGCAGGCAGACACTTAACCGACTGAGCCACCCAGGCAGCCCGAGCCAGATGGTTTTAAAAGTGATTGAACGTAAACTGGATTTGGTGCCACTTAATCTAACTCTTCTTTCACTAGAGTGATACGAATTGGTGGAAAGGTACCTCCAAAGGCAGGACTGGACTCATCCCAAGCAACTATGGTAAGCATGGCTGTGGTGGTTATTACTTTGTTTCTACTGTGTGGACTTTCAGTTTTCTGGTTCCTGAAGCCTTTCTGCTTGCTGCCAGGGCTGAGAAATCAATGGAGTCATTGCCAGTATAGGATATTTTGTACTCTGTGAATCTCTCCGTAATAAAAGGGGAATGGGCACTGGAGGTACTTGAACTTGATTCTTTGGCTTAAGAAAATGCATTGTAACATGCTTGATAGAACCCCAGGTTTCCAAAGAAATGCTTATGGCATTCCTTTATCCAACTCTTAGGATGTTTTTTTTTTTTTTTCCTTTTCTTTTGCTGTTAAACCAAATCTCAGATGGTTTCTCAGCCTAGCCCTTTCTTTGGTGATGAAGTGATCTTGCCTTGTTAATTCACGTGTGGGGCAGTTATATTCGTTAAATGGGTATCCAGGCCGTTTGAGGAGCTTGAGTAGTGAGAGGTGGCCCCTGCCATGAAGCCACTTCTGGTTGGAAGAGGGACAGACAGACCCAAGTACTTCTGTAGAGAATAGCAAAGTAGAGTAAAAAGAGCACAGGATTGGTAAACAGTGTTTTAATCCTTTTTCTTCCACTTCTTAATCACAAGGGACTTTAGTGAAGGCACTTAACCGCTGTCCTTGAGACTGCGGTGTAATGAGAGGTTTGATTTCAGTCCCTTCCAAAAATTCCTTTTGACGTCAGCATTAGATGAATCCCTAGACCAGTGGGGCTGGCGTCAGGCACCAGTTCCAAGCACTTGCACAGGACTTAGAAATTCGCAAGGAAGGGACTGCTGCAAAGTTCCTAGGAGAGCAAAGAGGGGGAGGGGAAGGGAGGGGAAGTGAGAGCTGAGGTCTGGGGCCCCAGGCAGGGGCCCTGCTTGCCCTGGTCTAAAGGTGATGCCATTCTGGGTTAAAAACATTTCTGTGTTCCTCTAACCTTTGCACTCCATTTCTAGCCAGTCACAGACAGTGAGCATGTAAAATGTTCCCCTGTTGCTTTGCATCTGCAGTAGCCAAGGGAGTGTCCAGTTACCGCTCTTTATGGCGGGAGGGGTTGGGTCTGACGTCTGTTTTGAACCGCAGTCTTCATGTGGTCATTCCTGCTGATTCTGGGACAGAGGAGAACACACCTGCCTCAGAGGCAGGTAGGGATGCTGCTTGCCCTCTGTAAATACGGGAAGCAAACCGTTTCCCCCTCGTGCGTGCCCCCCAGATGCACACACACAAGGGAAACAGAATTATTTTCGGCCGTCTTCAAAGTAGGGTGTTTTTACAGAATGGAAAAATGAACATCGAATGTTTTCCTTCGCATTTTTGTGACTCAGTTTATGACATACTTGAGTATACTGGTATGCAGGCCACGGATCTCTTTGCTTTTGCTTATACTTCCAGTTAATTACTGCGTGTGGCTTTTGTTTATACTCCAGTTAATTGCTGTGGTGTTGCCTTATTGCCTAGCTTGGTTTCATTTAGCAAATAATTTAGCTTCTTTTAAAGCAGGAAGCATCAGTTTGATTTTCTGCTGTTTTTTATTTTTTTTTATTTTTTAAATCCACACTAAAAGGGCTGCCGTGTGGTGGAAGGCCCTGGCACTCGGGAAGCCCGGGGACTGCAAAGTGGCTTCAGTGAGTCACTGGGGTGGCACTCTCAACACTGGCTTTGCTCTTTTTATTTTCAATCTAGTGGCCGAGCAGGCAGAATCCATTGACAATCCATTGCATGAAGCCGCAAAGAGAGGTAGGTGTGATTGTTTTTGATTGAGATACCCAGGAGTAAAACACACATCTTAATTATATAGTTTGATGACTTTTGACAGGTGTATACACCTATGTTACCGACGTCCAGATCAAGATCTAGAACACTTCTGTCATCCCAGAAAGTTCCCGGTCCAGTTAAATCCCTACCTTCCCCAGAGGCAATCTCTGTTATGCCTTCTATCACCCTTGAGAGAGAAAATGTGATTAAAATGTTTTTTTTTTTTTATTTCCTTAAGTAAGCTCTACACTCCAATGTGGGGTTCGAACTCACAGCCCCAAGATCAAGCATTGCATGCTCTACCAACTGAGCCGCCAGGCTCCCCTATGATTTTAAATTTTTAAATGTCAGCCACCAGACACTTTTGAGTACTTTACTTACCTTGTGCCCAGTGGCAGGTGGAGAGGCATTTCTGTGGCTCCCAGAGCTGGATGTCTGGCAAGGGGAGAGATGTGTGTAACAGATTGTTACAAGGTGGTGTCAGAAAAACAACAATTGAAGTATGTTTAAGTCAAACAGGTTATAGAGGCCACGATGAGTAACTAGAGGGCAGGAGGGTGGAGGCTTCTTGTGGGCCTCACATGTGGGAGAGTGTTGTTATAGTGCAGGTGTGTGGGGTGAGGGTGAAGCTGGGGAGGGAGGGAGGAGCAACAGGGCTGGACCTCGGACCTGGGACTTTATCCCATACATCAGTAGTGTCCCCCTCAAACCCTGGGATATTTGGCAATGCCTGACTGCGGACTTGGGAATGCTCCTGACACCTTTTGGGTAGTAGATGCTGGGGACATAGCTACAGGGCACAGGTCAGCCCCACAACAAAGAATTCTCCAGTCCCACCGTTGATAGGGCCACTGTTGAGAAGCCCTGCTGTGGACGTGGGGAGTTTTTATAAGGCCTCAAGGAGCTCTCTTTCATTCTATTCCAGATCTTTTTGAAATGTGAATGTCCAAAAGGAAATATTGGCTTAGAATGGTGCATAGGTAGACCTACTAAGCTGACATTTATCATTAGTACCTGAGACTAGTATTATACTATATGTTTGATAACTGGAATTTATTTATTTATTTTAAGATTGTATTTATTTATTTGACAGAGAGACACAGCAAGAGAGGGAACACAAGCAGGGGGAGAGGGAGAGGGAGAAGCAGGCTTCCCACGGAGCAGGGAGCCCGATGTGGGGCTCGATCCCAGGACCCTGGGATCATGACCTGAGCCGAAGGCAGACACTTAACGACTGAGCCACCCAGGCGCCCTGATAACTGGAATTTAAATAAAAACCTGAAACTAAAGAACAAAGTGATTTGCAAATTAGATATTTGGGGCATTCGCCAGAGGATTTTAAATTAATAGTTAAATTTACTATGAGAGCAGCAGCTCTGAGCAGGTTATTTTGTGTTTATTTCCGTATTTTCTTATCAGAACTGAAAGTACATTTTAATATGAAAATGAATAGTATCTCCTTGTTCTTAGGTTTGACTGTTTTCCCCCCCAAGTTCTAGGATTTCACAAAGGAAAAAATTACATGTATGTATTTTTTACGGAGTCAGACAACCATACGTAGACTCATTTAGGCAACTCTTCCCATTAACCGACCATTAAAAGTTGATGTTGTACAGCCCCACAGAGCTTACTCGTATTTTGTCACTTACATCGACACTGATCAGCATGTATGTGTGGCCAGTCTGTATGTACCATAGACTGAATGTTTGCATCCCTCAAGATTCAGATGTTGAAACCTAACCCCAGTGCAGTGGTGTTTGGAGGTAGGGCCTTTGGTGGGCTCTGCCCTCGTGAATGGAACCAGTACCGGTCGAGACCCCGGGGAGCTCCCCTGCTCTTTCTGTCCAAGGGGTGGAAAGACAGTGTCCACGAACCAGGAAGCAGGCTCTTACCGGACACCGAATCTGCCAGCACCTTGACTCTGGACTTCCCAGAGTGGTGACAAATAATTTGTGCTGTTTAAGCCTTTCCTACCCTCCTCCACCCCCAAGTTGTTGTTAATACTTTTCATTAATATAGTGGAAGCGAAAATGTACCATAATGAATGCATTACTGGGCAGGTCTTCATTTCAGACTTGCTGACGAATCCATTCTAGATGGGAATTTATGGAGGATGCAATGGATTCCAAAGCAGACAAAACAAAACACCAAACCCTTTTTCTCGTGTTTTTATAAATGTGAAATTTTTTCAGGCAACCTGAGCTGGTTGAGAGAGTGTTTGGACAACCGAGTCGGTGTTAATGGTTTGGACAAAGCTGGAAGCACCGCCCTCTACTGGGCCTGCCACGGGGGGCATAAAGGTACTGTCTTCTGTGTGTTGTCCTTAGAGTCCATGTTCCTGAAACGGTGCTCCACAGAGAGGTGATGGATTTACAGAAATGAAAAAACAGATGATTCTTTTCAAGTCCTTTAGAACATGGGCCAAAAGCCTTGTGAAGCAGTAGGCAGAATGCTCCCTTCATGGACCTCTCTCACTTTGAAGACTGGAAACTTCCTTTCTTCTCCTGGGCTCAGAAAGGTGACAGGAAAACAATAGTCATGTAAAAACAAACCCCACAATATAATCTTACAGAAGAAAGGGGCAGGAGTGACTCCTCCAGCTTAGCTTTTCCCAAGATACGCTTTCGTGAGGTACATTTTAAGTTGAATGCACGCTGTTCGATGTAGGAGAAAGACGGCATTTGCTTAAGTTAGTAATCGTTGGTAACCTTCTCAGTTATAATCAATAATACAACAAGTGGAATTTCTAGGGCAGTTTCAGCCTGACAAAACATCAGCCACACCCATTTACCTCTCCCTACAACATACACACAAAACAGACACCACAATCAGAAACAAAGCACCCAGCAGATTAAATAGCAGAGCCAAAGGAAAGTTTCTGGCCGTTCCCCAAAAGGAAGCCGATCTTATATTAGCTCATAAACACAGATTAGTTAAATGAATATAAAGTGGCATAGCAAAATGTAGAGAGTTCTACAGTGGTTGCCCCGTGTCAAAATGCAAAAGCCAGATTATTTGAAAGCAACTTTTCCCTAGATAATTCTACTTTTTAGGTTCTTAAGTCTTGTACTTACATAAATTTAAAAAATTTTGTTATAAGGATGTTCTTGAAGATTCTTCTAAAGAACCCTCTCTTTTAAAACTATTATGCCTAGCCTTGTCAGCCGTTTCCTTTTTTTTCTTAAAAAAATATCTTTCCTCTTTGAATTTCAGACATAGTGGAAGTGCTGTTTACTCAACCAAACATTGAACTGAACCAACAGGTAAGATCGTTTACGTGGAAGTCGGTGGTCATAACACACCTGCCTTGTTCTCGAGGTGCAGTGTGCAAAGTCCTGTCTTTGTGCCTTGAACTGACTTTTTCCCATTTGGTATCTTTCATAAAATTTTTAATCAAAACACTACAAATAGTTAAAAAATTTCTATTGTACTGAAATCCAAATTGCATAAAGCCCAAAATGCCTACCATACTCCTTCCTTCTCACTCACTCCTTTCGGCTCTTAGCTCTTTCCTCTCGCCTTCATGTTACTAAGGAAGATGCCTACAGAGCTGTATCCTAAGTCATCATCTTCATAAATGTTCCGGTGTCCTTTCTGAAGGTTCCAGCTTACTACTGCCCCCACTCTGATCTGCCAGCTCCGAACCTTTGCTCCTCTGGTCCTCCCCCACGTAGCCTATCAGAGTTTCCGGTTATGGTACTCTCCAATGCTTATGAGTATTATGGCTATTTAAATATTGCTCACCGTTTGTGTCATTTTTGTTTCTGGACTTACTGACTTTTATTTAGCTAGCTTTTTTTTTTTTTTTTTTAAAGATTTGTTTGAGAGAGCGAGAATGAGAGAGAGTACATGAGAGGGGGTAGGGTCAGAGGGAGAAGCAGACTCCTCGCTGAGCAGGGAGCCCGATGCCGGACTCGATCCCGGGACTCCGGGGTCATGACCTGAGCCGAAGGCAGTCGCTTAACCAACTGAGCCACCCGCTAGCTTTTGGTTTTTTATCTCGCTGGAGACTTCCACCCTGTTTCACGTTCTCTTGATGTACTTTTCCAAAATGTAGAAGGTAAGTGCTTCCCCCCCCCCGCCCGCCCCAGAATGTAACTGGTACTTCCCGAAGTCCTCACCCTCATTCTCTGATCTGAGCAGCTTCATCTCTGCTGCTCTTTGCTCTCTTCCTGGGAAGCCCTACCTTCCCCTCCCTTCTGTGGTGCGTCTTCACTTGTCTCCATCCTGTGTCTGCCCTCCTGTTGTTGAGGGGAGAATCTTCAAACAGATTCCTAAGAAAGGGGACCAAGGGATCGATGATGTGGCTGACAAAATTCGAGGCTGAAAATGATTTCCCTTAGAATTTTGCAGGCGGGGCTCCAGGGTATTCAGTTTTTAGGATTGCTTTTGAGAGGTTTGATGCCATTTTGATTCCCGTTCTTTTACATGTGATCTGCTTTTTCTCTCGCTCAGAATTGTCACGCTGACCGTGGTGTTCTGAAATTTCACCACGATGTGCTTTAGAGTAGGTCTCTTCCCAGTAACGATGGCGGACTCTTTTCAGCCTGGAAAAATGTTGTCTGTTGTTTCTTTTCCAGTTTTTACCGACCATTCTCTTTGTTCTTGGGTTCTGGAATGCCCGTTCATAGTGAGGTAGGACCTCTTAACACTGAAGCTCCAGTTATTTTAGTTTTTCTCAGAGATTTTCTTACCTTTATGTTGGTTACCTTTTTAATTCCTTAATGTCCTGTGTAAGTTTTCTTTTGCAGTGTAATAAAAAACCACAAACGCGGCGGCTTAAAATGACACCATTTGTCCTGTACTTTCTGTAGATAGACCAGAATTCTGGGTGCAGCACAGCTGGGTTCTCTGCTGAGTCTCATGGGCTGGAATCAAGGGATTAGCTGGACTGGCTTCTCATCTGGGGCTCGGATCCTGTTCCGGGCTCACTCAGGTTTGCCAGGAGGATTGAGTTTCTTGCACCCATAGGACTCTGGCCTGCAGCTTTCAGAGATCACCCCTCTCCATAGACATTTCCCAACATGGCTGTTTGCTTTTTTCTTTAAGGCCAGTAGGAGATTGTGTCTCTGAAGCTGTACCTTTGGGAAAGGGCCCCCCCCCCCCGCCCCGATTAGGCCGGGCCCACCCGGTATAATCTCCCTTTTGATGAACTCAACATCAACTGATTAGACACCTAATTATGGGAGTGATATCCCATTATATTCCTTAGTCTCACCCACACTCAAGGTGGAAGAATTCTTCAGGGGGTTGATCCTAGGGGGCAGGAATCTTGGGCACCATCTTAGAATTCTGTCCACTATAAGCTCTTACTTTTACTCTGATTATTACTTTTAAGTAGCATCTTTTCTTGTTCCATTATGCTCTTTCATGTTATATCTCAGATCTATTAATTACAGCTTTTTAAAACATTTTCTGCCATTAACTGTACTGTGTCTTTCCCCCCCTGAGATCCATTAATTTTGTTTTTATCCTTTCTCAAATAATGGAGGCTTTCCTAGTACCTAGTATTTCCAAATACTTAGTATCTTTGTCCATTCATGTTGAAGTGTGATAGATGTTCTGCATGCTTATGGGGCTTCTCCATAGGGTGAAGTAAGGTCCTAAGCTGTTTCGCTGGGTGATATCCAGATGTCAGTGTGAATACCCTCTCCCTCCTCCACATGTGGGCCTGCTCAGCTTCACCAGAGAACTGTCCTCCAGCCTCCTGCCCAGGGGGTAGATGCTAGACCGTGCACACTGGGGCAGTGGGGTAGGTAAAGGCAGCTTACTTCTCAGCTTGTTGGTTTTCAAGCTCACCCACTGCTTTTAGCTCCAGGCCTCATTGCCACCTTCCCTTGCACCTCTAAGTTCCACGAGCTTGGAAATGGTCTGGTTAATTTCTCGACAGAGTAATTCTGCCATCTGCATGGGGTCACCTGGTAGCAAGGAGAGAGGAAGGTGATCTCATTACTTCCATAAACACTTTCACCCGGTCCTCTTGTTTTCACTCCCATGCCTCGTGCCCACTCCAGTGTCTCCAGGCATCTCCGATTTGCTTAATTCATGTGAGGTTTCTGCAGGCACAGATCTGTTTGCTTCCTCCTGGCGTCTCCTGCAGGCATCTGCAGCTCTGCTGGTGCTCTGCCAGGTCGGTCTCTGCTCCTGCGTCCCATCCCCATGCCCCAGATGACTCTTCTGTCGTCACGTGAGTCTCCTTTCTCTCTTTGGAATTTTATACGATTTCACGACTTGTCCTCATTGTAAGGTTACCCAGAGTAAACCTGAATTCGTGTGTATTTTCAGTCCACTCTCTATTTTTAAAATGCTGCATTCTCTTTTTAAATCACCGTAGAACAAGTTGGGAGACACAGCTTTGCATGCTGCTGCCTGGAAGGGTTATGCTGATATTGTCCAGTTGCTTCTGGAAAAAGGTAAAGTGTGTGCCCAGTTTATCCAGCCTTCACGTACCCCGGAAAAATAGGCTACATTCAATTACATTATTTGAAATAGTAGGAAGAATAATAGGCTCTGTGTTTTGAAAGTGGGATTTTAACTTTCACTCTGTATCACAGGGTTGTTACAGTAAGCTGAAATTACAGTATTGTGATTTGTGTGAAGTTGTTAGTTTTAAATTGAAAGCTTGGTAAGCTTTAAGATTACATCTATTACTTTTAGAACTTGTGTATTTCTGCAGGATTAAAGGGCCTTAGAAGAAAGGCGTACGTGCGTGTGTGTGTTTGTGTGTGTGTGTGCGCGCGCACGCATGCCTGTGCGGAGAAGATCCTATCTCAGAAGGCTGTATGGGTAAAGTTGCTGAGCCCCTTTTCACACAGGAGATTCTTGATAGATAAGAAAGCAAGCTCTAGGTATAATCTCCTGCTTTGAGCTGAGCAGGTGCTAGATGTATGAAGAAAGAGAAGATACCTCGATTCCCTGTGTCTGTACAAGTCAGAGGGGACAGTGAAATTGTGGACTGACCATCCATCCATCCACTTGTCCTGTAGATATTAATTAAGCCTTACAGAGGGCCAGGCATATCCCCCCATACTGTACCCTGCTCCAAAGGCTATAATACAAGTTGCTTGAGTCCCAAGGTGTCATATGGATGCACTGTCATTAGGGATCCTCAGAGCAATGTTGTGGGATATATGAGGGGAAATGTTACTAATTTAAAGTGTGTTGATGACGTAAACCTCGGGTATAAAAAAGATCAGACAGCATGAAGACCACTGTAGTGCCCCCTAAAGGTTATGCCGAGAACTGCGCCGTACCGCTGGGGCCAGTGAGCTGGTGAAATGAGCCTAGTCTGAACTGAGATGTCCTGCAAGTGTAAAATGCACATCGAACGTCAAAGACTTAGTGGAAGAAGATGTAAAGCATCACAACAATTCTTATGTTGGTTCTATGATAGACCTGTCACATTTTGGATATACTGGGTTAAAGAAAACGTATTATGAAAAGGAATTCCTTTTTGAAAACGTGGCCACTAGGAAATCTGAAATGACATATATGGCTCCCATTGTATTTCTCTTGGGTAGCGCTGGTGGAGAGGGACACAGGAAATGGTTGTTTCTTCTCTTGCATTGCTGGCCCTGGACATTTCCTGTCCTGACAGAAATCATGTACATGAGTTCTAAAGTGTAATTTAACGTAAGATATGATTAGTCACAGAACTCTTAACCCTCAGGACTCTTTTTTTACCTGTAGCTCAAGGAGAGAATGCGGTTCTTATAGACCCTTCGCTATGGGTAGATCTAAACCTGCTCACGAGGGAGATTTTTATACACAATTGCCATATTCCTAATTAAACCCGCCAACCTTTCTTAACTCAAATATTTTTTTTTTTTTTTCCAGTCAATGAAAGGGAAACTTTATTGAGGCCCCAGGCCCTTGGGGCTCGGGCAGGAAGCTGCCCTGTGGGCAAAGGAAGAGCCAGTGGAGGGGCCTTATTTGACCTTCTTTTTGGGGCGCAGGTTGTTGGTGTGGCCGCACTTCTTCTTGCGGCAGTTGACAGCACGGGGGTGCAGGCGAGCGTAACACTTGCGGCAGATCATCTTGTCACAGTTGTATTTCTGCGCCAGCTGGCGGAGGGAAGGCTCAGTGATGCCACCCCGGAGGCGAAGCACCAAGTGCAGGGTGGACTCTTTCTGGATATTATAGTCTGACAGAGTACGGCCATCTTCCAGCTGTTTGCCCGCAAAAATCAGACGCTGCTGGTCAGGCGGGATGCCCTCCTTGTCTTGGATTTTGGCTTTGACATTCTCAATAGTGTCACTGGGCTCGACCTCGAGGGTGATGGTCTTGCCCGTCAGGGTCTTCACAAAGATCTGCATCTCTGCGTCTGGCGCGAATCCGCAAGGCCGCCGCCACCAAACCACTCGTCCACCTCGTTGAAGAAAAAGAGTCTTAACTCAAATATTTTTGTGCCTTTGCGTTTCATTACATTTATTTTTTGTTTATGGAAGAGGATGTGGTTACAAAGAAAATGGCACTCCTATACTGTGGCAGAAAGTGTAAATTGGTAAAGCCTTCTTGGAAAGTAATCTGACAGCAGCTAGCAGAATTAAAAATGGACATATCCTCACATTCCAGCGTCACTTCTAGAAAACCACACATCAGGAAAATGTTGTTCGAGGAGGTTTACGGCAATATTGTTTGTGATGAAGGAACAGCCTAAGTGCCCTTCAATAGGGGGGTGATTAAATAAATTTTGCACTGTCCACAAAATTGAATACTTACAAATGTTTAAATAGGTCGAGTTATAAGGATGTGTATTAATAAGGAATGGTATTAAGGAATACCATTATATATTGTTAGGTTAAAAAAATCAATTTACAGACCAATATATGTGGTATGATTTTGTGTATATATACATATATGTCTGTGAATGCATTCATGCACCTAAGGGAGCTGAGGATTGATGCCTACTTGCTGGGAATGGTTTCCTGTGGACAAGCTAGAGGAAGGGGAAGGGAAGGGGTGAGCTGGGGGATGAAAAGGGACGTATGCTTCTGTTTAGCATACTTCTATATTTTTGAATCTTTAACAATGAAAATGGACTCATGAATTCTGATAAAATTTTTACCTCGTGAAGACAAGGAAAAAAAGCAAGTTGAAGATAGGCTGTGGGAACAATGGATTGCCTCTAGGTTTTATTGTGTTACTCTTCTGCTAATTTGCACAGGAGTATACTTACAGATAGAGAATATTAATCCCCTCAGGCAGCAGCCACGTGGTATTTTCTCAAGAAGCAACGGGTATATTACATTGAATCTCCAAACACTGGTGCCAAGACACATTGGAGTCTAACTAACTCAGGATTCACCTCCGGGAGAGTCAACTCCCCACTGAAAACTCACATGCAGTATTCTGAGGACTTGAAAGGAAAGGCTATATTTTAATGGTGCCTAATTATCAGGGGTACAGCAGCAAGCTCCCTGATTAAAGATGTCAAATGGGCTTTTACTGTTCTGAAAAAGCTGACTTCAGGGCCAGAGTGATTCCCTAGTTAGTTTGGCCCAAAGTGATGAGTTTTGGTGGAAGGAAGATTGTCTGCTACTCTAGATTCTTCAGAAACACCTGATGTGCTTTTCTTGTATTGGGGGGAAAGGTGCGAGAACAGACTTAAGAAACAATGAGAAGAAGCTGGCCCTGGACATGGCTACGAATGCCGCCTGCGCATCTCTCCTGAAAAAGAAACAGGGCACAGGTATTTGGCTTTAATTCTTCTTTCTCCTCTGGCACCATCATGACCAAGGTTTATCATCTTAGGACTGGGAAAACTCTTCATGTGGTGGTTCTGAAGTTACATTTTATTTCCTTGGTCTACTTCGGAACGTTCGCCATAGAAGAAATACCTTTACGCAAACAAGTCGAAGAGACATTGAGCTTTTAGTATTTATTGTATGTTTCCTTTGTTCCTTACAATTAAGTCGTAATCACTTTGCTTTCCAGTAGAGCCCTTTATCAGAGAGCCATGGTCTCCGTATCCTCGTTTCAGATAGGTGTTTACCAGTGGTTCTCTCTAAATATATTTTTCAATTAAGCACTGAAGAGCTCCAGGGTTATATTTTATTTCTATTTTAAATGAGAGTATCAGTAAACTATAATCAGAATAATCAGAATTATTAGCCTTGGTAAACAATTTGATGTTCACTTAGCCTCTGGGGTGGTTTTTAAAGGTAAAGTTTAGGTATACATCCTTAAAGATAAAAATATCTGTTGGTGTGGGAGAATAGGTTTGAAAGAAAAAAATGAAAAGTTTGTGTGGTTGTTTTGAAAAGGTGTCGAAGAAAAGGTGTTAAACGCATTTGCATCCTTCATGAGTACTATTCAGAGACTGGCTGTTTGTTGGACTTCTCAGTGCATAACCTGAATGAGTGATTTCCTTTGAAAGAAATGCTGGGAGGGTGTGCTTTAACCCTTCCCATTCCCCTGTCCTTTCTCTCTCCTTCATCCGCCATCAGCCTCCGGGCCCACGAGGAACCCAGAGGTAGAAAAAAGAGAGGTAGGAGATGATTTGTTTGGAGGGCACAGTCCATCTCCCCTCTCCCCCCAAGGCTTATTCTATTGTTACCTTATGTTTGGCACTCTAATGCCACTTTGAAGGAGAAGCCAATGATTGATACATCTTCTCCACCATTTTCTAGAATGGAAACTAGTATAACGGAGAACTCACTTTCCACAAGTCTTTATTTAGCATTGCTGCTCATCATTCCAACCCTTCTTAGTATTGCTTTAGAGTCTAAAGTTTAGACTGATCCGTGCTGGTGGAGAATCACCAAAACAACTTTTTGAGACATTTCCAGTATTGAGGCTGAGTGCATTTGTTTCCATTTTAAGCTGAGGGTAATATCACTCTCAGAGTTGTGAGCTTGTGTAATAAGGTGCTGATTACTGTTTTCATCATTTGACTCCCATTCCCATTAATTTTTGAACCCTTGGAAAGCTTTTCTCTTCTTTAGCTAAGTACTTTTTGTTTTATGAGAAGAGGCAATGTTATTTGGTCCTGTAGCCCAGTTCCAGCAGAAGCAACAAAATAAAGTCAGTCCCCTGGTTTCCTACTTTTGTCAATCAAAGATAGCAAACAGTCCCTCTCTCGTCATGACTCACCAAGGGAGCCGCCCACAATTATCCTCCTTGTCCATCACCAGATCCCCATCATAGCCCTCCTCACAAATCTGCTGTTCCTTTTATTCTTTACTCCAGATAGGTCTTTGTTCCAGATTTTTATTTCTTTTAACTTCAGTTCAGATACAGTGTAAACCATTAAACCATTAAGCACCTTGGGTTCCTTAATTATTTAAGCCATGAATGCTCCCTGGCAGGCTGGTGTTTCTGCCAAGTAATTACTCGTGCATAGATGGATTGAGGGTCTGCTGAGTGCGTGAGAAAATATTTACCAGCTGAGTGGTGCTCCCTAGCAATCCTACATTTTGATTGAGAAGCCATATATGTAGCTGTGAGGGAGAGATACTTTTACTTGGCATGTATCTCCACCTTCCTGCTGCCTTGGTTGGTTCCGGAAGTCGGACTATGGCCTAACTTCCTTTTTCTGCCACTGACTTCCTGTTGCTGTATGGGTCCCTTCAGAATGTCCTCACCGTGGAGTAAGACTTCTTATGAGCTGAAGGTTATCAGAGACTCATGTATACTATAAGCTTGATCATGGTAGACAAGGAAAATAGCACACTTGCCTCAGACCCCAGAGAGCTGTACCCAGAAGCCTCCACATGAGCAGTGGGAGCTGGGGGAGGCAGGTGGCAAATTGTTCTTTTTCCCTTCACCTTTCTACAGTCTTTGTAGAATAGAGCTGGGAGGTAGGTCTCTTTTCCTCTTTTCATGCTCAGTGTCTTTAGTCTACTTTCCTAAATTTGTATTGATTAGGTAATGGACTCGTTAATGAGGTAATCATTACTTACCTGGGGGCTTGGCACGCAGAGGCAAGAAATGAACTTTCATATTTCGGTTTTCATGTTACCTTTTTCCTCTCTTTTTTCTTGCTTCATTCTGCAGTCGTCCAGTAATATTTCAGTTTGTATTGTGATCCTAGTTGGAATCAGTTGAATATTGGGCCATATAGCTAATTATCAGCACAAACTCTGCCCTGGAAAAAGTATATTCTGATGTTGTTGCCCACTTTTAAAAGCACATCTTGGATTTTTTATAGAGAAAAAACAAGTCACATTTTGTAGTTACCTTGAAGGATAACTTTGGGATATGAGTTTAGGGCCAGGGTTCAGCGCCCCCCACAAGGGTTCCACCCTTTAAATTCTTTTTCCAGTTTTTACAAATTGGGGTATAATTTATATTAATTATACATATAAATCCTAAGTTTACATCTTGTGTGTGTGTGTGTGTGTGTGTGTGTGTGTGTTTTTAACTGTGCCCCCACCTGCCACAACCCAGATCAAGGTAGAGAACATTTTCCATACCCCAGAAGCCCCCTCCATATCCTCCCCTGCTCTCACCATAGGCTGGTTTTGCCTGTGCTTGAACTTGATATAAATGGAATCAAACAGTATGTACTTTTTTGTGTCTAACTTCTTTTCACTTAATACTCTATGAGATGTATCTAGATTACTGTGTCTGTCTTTCTACCATTTATTTATTGTTTGTCTTAAGTGCTGGTGGTTGATTTGAATGTGCAAATCCAGGTCAGTAACACTGAGGAGAAATGGAAGTGAGGTCGGGGAGAAGGGGATGCACCGCTAGGAGATACATTATTATAATGGCCACGGCCCAGGATGAGCTGTGAAGAGCTGTAGCACCTCAGCACTTGGCCATGTGAGAAGTTTCCAGAGAAACTGGGCCTGAGAGCATTCCATGAAAGGAAGAAAGGAGAAGGAATTTGTTTGCCTGGCTCATTCCTGTCTCTTGATTTCCTTTCAGCAAAGGTTGCACCGTAGCGAGTCATCTTCTGCTAACAGGAGAAACAAGGTTGAAATAAGGGGCAGAAGTAGCCATGGAAGGACAAAGAATATCTCAAATGGCAAAACATAGGATGGTAGTAACAGAGTAGAGTAGGAAAGAGCTTTGCTATTGTCTTTTTGTCTTTAGCTCAAAAAGCTGCTTTTCCTAAGTTTACAGCCAGTCCTGAAGTTCATGGGTGTGTGTGGGATAGGACAAAATATATTCCGCCCAGGCCTCCGGAACTTCTCATAGGGAGGATGGACACAAATACAACTTGGAGACTTCTAGGAGTTTGGAAGCTGCTGTGAAATCATTGAAGTTTGCCTCTGTTCTGCTTATATCCACTTGTTCTTTCATCTTTCCTTCTTGTAGAAGATAAATCCATTTCTATCTCCCTTGTACCGACTCTCCCTGTCCCTTCCTTTTTCTCAATAATTCTAAATTTGTAAAGATAATGACTGAAAAAACTGTAGTATCATCAGCATACGTAAAATTAATAATGCCTTCATATCATCAAATAAATCTTGTCATTGTCCAAATGCCCTTTTTTCTCATACATGTTTGTTTATGCTTTGTTTACCTATTTATCTGTTTACTTATTTGTGTATAGTTTAAGTCAGGGTCTGAATAAGGTCAGGCTCTGGTTGGTAGATATGTCTCTTAAATCATTGCTTCCTCTCCCTCTCTCTTGCTAGCCTGGCGATTTACTTATTAAAGAAGCTGGGTCAGTTTTCCTGAATTTCCCAGTCTAGACATTGCATATGTGCATCCCCATGGTGCTGTTTGTCATGTTCCTCTTTCCTCTGTATTTTTGTCAGTTGGTGTTAGATCTAGAGCTTTGATTAGATTTTACATTTTATCTGTCTGTCTGAGGGGTAGAGGGAAAAATACTTCATGAAGAAAGTTGTGTTGTTTCATCAGAGGCACAGAATATCTGTTTGTCACTTGTCCTGTGACTTTAGCATTCATTGATAATCATTGTCTAGATCCACTATTTCACGAACAGTTGCAAAATGGTGATATTTGAATTCTGTCACTCCTTTCTCAGTTATTAGCTAGGAACATTCTGTAAAAAAAAAAAAAAAAAAAAAATTCCTTTCATCCATGGTTTGATTACTCAGAGGTAATAGTTTGTGTGGTAGGGGCAGAATAAAGGCTTGATTTTTGTCCTTTGTTAATGAGTTTTCAGAATAAGGTACACGTTCCCTATTATTCTCCAAAGAAGACTGGTGAATTCTCTTTGGTGTGTGTTGAAATATGTACTGTGTTTCAATCCATTATATTTAGTATCCTTATTTTTTTTTAAAATATTTTTTTATTTATTTGACAGAGAGAGAGAGAGAGAGCATGAACACGAGCAGGGGAAGCTGCAGAGGGAGAGGGAGAAGCAGGCTCCCCACTGAGCAGGGAGCCTGACCCAGGGCTTGATCCCAGGACCCTGAGATCATGACCTGAGCCGAAGGCAGACGCTTAACAGACTGAGCCACCCAGGCGCCCCTAGCATCCTTATTCATAGTCCCTCTTTGGCTAGTGGAGGCCTCTTCACATTGGATTGTGAATCTTTCTAAAATGACGCTCTCTCTGATAGCATCCTTGTTTTATGGTATGACAAGCGGTTCCAGGTACATCTTTTACATTTTATGCCCCGGACTTGGAATCAGTCATATCTCCAGTGAGCACGGGGATATAGTATTTAGAGACCATGGTAATATACATTTATCGAGCTCTAACTGTGCTTATAACTTGGATTTCAGTTTCCCTCCTAAAATGATGCTTCACATAACCTGTTGCTTATAGGCATTTAACTAGACAGTTGAATAGGTGCACAGGTAAAGATCAGATGCCTTCTTTTTGAACCCTGTTCAAGCCTGATTTAACATATGGTGGGGTTCGGTTCCTTCTGTTTCACACTTTATTTCATTGCCTTCAGGTAAGGCCACGCAGGCTGTCGACTGACCAAAGCCACATCCATGTATTTGACACTGGGAGAGGAGGTTGGAAGTGCAGTGCTCAGAGTGGAGGGGCTTCCCGTGTGTTCCATGCTGGTCATGGTGCATGGGGCTGGTTGCATTTTGTGCAAGATAGATTAATGGTACCTTAGCACCACGTGCTTTAGTTTATTATTTTTTTTGCATGTCTAGAGAACCTGCAGACAGCTGTATTTGTCAGCCTCTATGGCAACAAATATTGAGCAGTGAGGCAGGAAAGCAAAAGTTGAAAAAGATCCTTGGGGGAAGTACTGTCCCAGGGTCTGAGGAAGGATTACAATTTGTGGAGCTATCAGGAGCTCTGAAAGTGAAGACAGAATCTGAGCAATTTGTAATTTCTCTTTCGCTCTCCCTCCCCCCTCCTTCCGTTTAGATGCTGTTCGAACATTAAGCAATGCTGAGGAGTATCTTGATGATGAAGACTCCGATTAATTCCCTTCTGGAGCTTCGAGATCTAAAACGTCTGTTGTTTTTGCCATTCCAAAACCTTTGTCTTTGCCAGAAGAGTGTTGGTAACTGTTTTTTGTCTTTTTTTTAAGTCTTTATGAACATGGGAGTATTGCACTGTGTGTGAGTAGAATGTGTAAATGGGTAGGTTTTCACCTTCAGTTTGCCGATAAGTGACTGGATACTTTGCTGTATAAAGTACATTTTTGTTCACTAGAGTAGAACAAGAAGAGATTATTTCTATTTATCAAGTTAAAGGAATTAAAAAAGTTTTTTTCCTTAAAAAAAATCAGAATTTTTTTTTTTTGTTTTGTTTCGTTCTTTACCTCAAGGATTGAAATATTTTGAATGGATTTTTCAAGGGGGAAATACTTGTTATAATAATGAACCAAAAGACTTAACAGAAAATCGTCAGCTATTCTGACAAAAATAAACATTTTAAGAGACTGTGTTCCTTTTGTCTGTTTCTTTGGTATCACTATTTGCTGGTAAATAAGGCTCTTTATATTTAGGTAAAGGCTGATTTTATTTTTTAAGTTGTATTTCATACTTATTAGCACAAAGGAATCGTAATAGCCACATTTCTATCCAACTTTATATATTTGCTTTGATTAAAGTTAAGACAATAATCATTGAGAAGATGCATTTATAATGAAATATATAACTTCAGTAATTATTAGACTTTCAGTTTTATCTCTAAGGTTATACATAGTGTGAAGAAGTCCAGCAACCCATTCCAATCTGCTTGTGGTCTGAAAGATTTAAAAAACCGATTTCCTTATCATGGAAGATGTCATCGTTTTCTATAGTGGAGTAGCCAGGAGCCATGAAATTTTTTTTGTGTTCAGCTTTTCACTTTGATAGCATTTGTTTTCCCAGAGCATAGCTGTAGCTTGTAACAATTCAAATTCTTTTGCTAAAACATCAGTTAATATTGCAGGGAGCCTTCTGTAATACTGAAGTGACCCATGATTCGAGATTCCAATTCTAATTTTGTCATCGCTGTTGGCATTTGCCCAGATTCCAGGCCCTCGGCTCAGAACCATATTTTGTAAGGAGACTTCGATGCTAATTTCAGAAAACACACTGGTGCAGAGAAGGAAATGTTTGAAGAAGGAAGTGGGTTAGCTCAGGAAATGAATAACTGCCACTGTAAGAGTTTTCTGTCTGTGACTGCTTTTTTTTCCTCTGTGGGTGCCTTGAGGAAGGGGATCCTGAGAAGCCTGTTCGAGGGCTTTCTGCTACCCCAACCGAATTTTGATAGAAAGAAGTCTGTATAAGTAGCGACAGCAGAGGATGAGCACAAAATCTGAAATCTATATCCTCAAAATAAATACATTTATGAAACTTGAGTTAAGCATTTGTATTTCTTCATAAGCATAACCTTGAAGATATGAAATCCTTGTTGAAACTGTATCTGTTCGAACCACAGAACCTTTAAGGATTCATTCTTTATTATTTAATTTATTTTATTTTAAAGATTTTATTTATTTATTTGACAGAGAGACACAGCAAGAGAGGGAACACAAGCAGGGGGCGTGGGAGAGGGAGAAGCAGGCTTCCTGCGGAGCAGGGAGCCCGATGTGGGGCTCAATCCCAGGACCCCGGGATCATGACCTGAGCCAAAGGCAGATGCTTAACGACTGAGCCACCCAGGCGCCCCTAATTTTTTTTTTTAGAGGGGGAGAGCATGAGCTGTGGGCAGGGAGGAGCACAGGTAGAGAGAGAATCTTAAGCAGGCTCCACGCTCAGCGCAGAGCCCCACACAGGGCTCGATCTCATGACCCTGAGATCATAACCTGAGTTGAAATCAAGAGTTGGATGCCCAACTGACTGAGCCACACAGGCACCCGGAGGATTCATTTTTTAAAATGGGGTTTGTGTGGGGCTCCTGGCTGGCTCAGTTGGAAAAGTGTGACTCTTGTACTTGGGGTTGTAAGTTTGAGCCCCACATTGGGTGTCAAGATTGCTTAAAAATAAAATCTTTAAAATGAAATGATAAAATAAAATAAAATATGGGGTTTGTGCCTTAACAAAAAGCTTTTGGAAATCTCTGCCTTTTGTTCTTGCGTACTTTGGGCCTGGGGTGATTAGAATAGGTGCCAACAAAACACTTTTAACTTTTTCACATGGGCAGAGATAATACAGTTTGCATGAATACAGATAATTTTTATGAAAATGCCTTGTGCTCGATGTGGGCATTTTATTTATGTCCTTGAGGAAAAGAAGAGTGAGTGGCTTCCCCGACATTGCTTTTGACATTATTGAGCTTGTGAAGATTCTAGAAAGTTGGCCAACCAGAATTTTTGGGAGTGGAGGGTGGACTTAGGTATATGCATGAGTTGCTGGTGAAACAAAATTTGGTGAAACAAAAAAAAGGACCACAGCATTTTGCTGTGGTTGAAACTCCATGGGAAAATTGACTTTTGGTGCTTGTTTATTCAGCCTTGCCAATATGATCTTTTTCAGAGATGTTGAATGCTGAACTCAGCAACAAAAATCAGTTCTAAGAACGTGTCACCCCTCTTGATTCTGTGCAGAGGAGAGCTTTGATTATGTTCTGGAAATGGCTTCGGAGGTTTTGCTGTAACCTGAGCTTTCTGACAGTCCCTGTGGCCTGAACTCCTTCCCGGTCCATTGTGTGCGTTAGATAGAAAATGGCTCTGAGCCCATGGGGTGGTGAGATAGACCAGCTTTAGGCCCAGTAGCCTCATGCAAAGACCAGCTTTTATCAGTTTCCCATTTTAGTTTCCTTTCTGGGACTGGTCTGTGGCAAATTATTTGAGCTGCTGTGCATTCCATTTGTCAATTTCTGTATTTCTCTGGTGAGCCCCCCCCCAATTGTTTTATTTTTTTCAATAGCGTGGCCATGTTGTCACCCAAAGGGAAGTGTTGAACAAAGCGGTAGTGACCCTCTTTTTTCTTAATCTTAAAAAGCCAAAATGGAAATAATCCTCAAAACGAAATCTCAGATCATTTTAGGTAGAGGAAAATCCAATTTTTCCATATAAGCTTCCTTCATAAGGGTTCTTTATTGTGTAGAATTTCTGATTTACTGGTATTTCTTCTTAGTGTGAGCCCTGTGCTTCTCATCTCTGTAAAGGATGATTTCTTCTCTGATCAGTTGTATGGAGCCTAACAAATCAGCATTTCCCTGTTGGTTTGATTTTGTGCTTGTTCTCCCGAATTTTATGTTGTAAATATGTCTAGCAGGAATACACAGACAGCCATACATTGTATAGCCAAACTTTGAAGTCTCTACTGAAAGTTGAGGTTTTGCGAGGGGGTACGGGGTGGGGGAGAAGTATTGCAAAAGATTCTATTCTCCCTATTTTAACTATTTAACAAATACAGCTTTGGTGAAGTTTTCTCAAGTGCAAGAAAAATTGCAGACCACAAATTTATGGTTGCTTTCCCCTTATTTCTTAATAACAAGCCTTTACATCTGCCCGTCCCTTAAAATGACATAAAATTAAATAAAACTACCATTTATTAAATGCCTACCCTGCCAGTTCCTATGCCAGGCAGTTTCATAGACGTGATGTCATTTGATCTTTACAGCAACCCTGGGCGGTGAACATTAATGCCCCTATCTTTTTACAGAAAGGCTGAGGTTTGAAGAAGTAACTAGCTCAAGGTGACACTGCTTGAAGATGGAAGTGCAGGTCTGGCCAACTCCTGAGCTAATGCACCTGCAGCCTACCGCATCTGGCAGACGATGCCATTCATGTTTGGCCAGAAAAATATGCAGAAACAAACCAGCTCCTTTCCAACTCAAGCCCTGGGTGTAGCATCTAATAAAGTCAGCATATCTGCTAATTTACTTAAATGTATTATGTAAACCAACCCTAAGAGCTTTTTTCTTTCCTTTTTTAAATAAAGGATTTCTCCCTCCACATCCCTGCCCCCCCCGAAAAATTTTGGTAAAACTTTTTGGTTCCCGGTAACCCTGAAGAAATACGATTTAATGAACAAGTTTCCAAATTTTCCTATCTATGCAATAACTATAAATAAGTGCAAAAGAAGGAAAGCCTCAACTAGCAGCCAATCACCTTGCTCAGAGTTTGTACTGCTAACTTCAGCATTTCCCTCAGATGGTCCAAGAGCTCCTGACATAGTTCCATGTAATCATAAAAAGAACCGTGTGCCTGGCAAGGGTCAGAGAATATTGTCTTACCGAAGTCTGGGAGCTCGCGTGGATGTGTCGGTTACCTCCCACTTCCCAGGGAGTTCTACTGTTGTCTCCTGCCCGTGGCCATCTGCTTGGGGCTCCCATCAGGCTCAGCCTTCCACCTACACTCTACTGTTGCCAGCTAGGGGCTGGGGTGAGGTCAGGTTCCTGGCTGTGGCTGAAAAGGAAAAACGGAAGAAATCCAGAAGTACAAGTTCAAAAGCCTGAGAAGGAGCAGGAAGGAAAGTGGGAGAAGAGCCAGAGAGGGAAGACGGCGAACAGCAAAGGAGAAATGGTGACCCTCTCTTAGTTACACATGGTCCTGATATAAAAGCCTAATGCCTCAAGAAGTGGCTAAGAGTGCAGGCTTTGGGGAGGAACTCTCTGCATTGGTCTGGCTTTGCTGCTTATTGCTGAGTGACCTTGGACAGATAACCTAAAACATTCAGATTCATAAGCTGGAACATGGGTGAGTAATAGTATCTGTTGGTTGAAGTTAAGAGGATTAAATTAAGTGATCTCCGTAAATGACTTAAGATAGTGCCTGGCAAAGTGATTGCCTCTTAAGCGTTGCCTGTACCCATAAGCCTGAAGGAGGACGTTTTCATTAAATAAATGTGTGTGTATGAAGGATGGGTCAAACATGTTTTTTCAAAGACATAGCCATCATTGTGAGATTTCCTAAAATGCATTAAAAATGAATAGAGGACAATGATATTTCCTTCCAGTCATTTAGGTATGTTTACATGTGGTAGAGCATTTTTCAATATAAATTCACTTATTGGGGCGCCTGGGTGGCTCAGTAGGTTAAGGGTCTGCTTTGGGCTCGGGTCATGATCCCCGGGTCCTGGGATCGAGTCCCACATCGGGCTCCATGCTCAGCGGGGAGGGTGCTTCTCCCTCTCCCACTCCCCCTGCTTGTGTTCCCTCTCTGTCAAATAAATAAAACCTTTTTAAAAAATTAAAAAAATAAATTTACTTATCGAGAGTTACAGGGAAGAGGTATATAACTGAAAAAGACGTTGTTGTTATTACTATTATTAAAATAATTCACAGGTCAAGTGGGGAGAATGTTGGCCACCGTTTCAGTTTTATGTTGTTGCTCTGGAAAGGTCTGATGGGCCCTAAAGACCACGGGTCTAATACTTGGTATGTGATGATTGCAAATTGGAAAGATTTCAAATTGCCCTGACATGCCTTCAAAATAGAAACAATCCATCTTTTCAAATGGATCAGCTTTGTAACTTCATACATTTCCCCAACAAGGTCTAAGCTTTAAT